TAATTTCGTGAACATAATTCACTTGTGCAATTATTCATTTTGTGATAATTACTCGACAAGATGCAATTATCCTTATCAGTGGTGCTTATAAATGTGAAACAGTGCATTCTTCATGCAAGAATCAAGTGGAACTTATATTCAATTATATTTTCTAGGTGATTGAAAGGTTTCCCTGGAAACCATAAATACAGGTTTGGTATAAAATATTAACTTTCTACTCTTGTTCACTAACTTGAAAAAAGAAATAAGATCATAAAATGAGTTTAAGGTGGGTTCTAAAGTGGAAAACTAGAGAAGGGTTAAAAAAGAAAAAAAAAAAAAAGGATAGAAAATAAATCTAGAGTGGCATGACTTCATATGACTTGATGAGTGTCTTAACGTTTTACACAAGAATCAACAAGTTGAAATACAAGCCTAAATAATGAATGGCAGCACCAATAGTCAGCATTCCAATCTAGAAGCTGTGACCATGTTCATGACTTGATGCGTTTTCAACACTGTGGTAATGATAATTCGAGCAGTTATGGTAGCATTATTGTAACTTTTAAAGCTTTAATTTTCATTATATTTCTAATTTATTTGGGATTTAATACTCGCTGTGTGAGTTGCATAAACTGCTAGTGAAGACTAACAGTCTAACAATTCCTTACAATGAGATGAACTAACTGGTTGCAGAAGGGATTTAGATTAAAAACTTCTAATTACATTTGAATTTAGAGCTTTAAGTTGTCCTACTTACATTTCGTTTTCGCACTGAGATGCATGAAAAGGAAAATACATGTAACTGTGAACTTTCATTATTTAATAACATTTTATTGCTACATATATTTTTTGCAGAAAGATATGCTATCGTAGGACAATTTTGAAAAGTGAAAGACATTGCTAGATATTTGACTTACAGACCAATGTTTAGTATTGTTTCTATTGCACTATGATGTCTCCATAAAAGTGTTGTTTCTATTATGATTTGCATTTTGTTGTATTAAGTTTTATGCTCGTACTATGCTTTGGGCTGTACAAATTTATCTTGTATTGAGGAATGATAAACTCAATTCTTTAATGCATAGTGAGGAAAATAAGTAAAAAGAACTTAAACTTTGGAATGTGGTGAAAAAAGCTCTACAAGTTGAATATCTTTATAATGTGGGGGTATTTAAAAATTTCAAATAAGGTACATCTTATATTTATTATTCTTTGTTTAAAACTGGCTTTTGAAAAGTGTTAGAAATAAAATTGGAAACATGTGGGTGAAATACAAGAGTTGAATGGATGAACATGTTCAAACATGTGACTGGAAGTCAAATTTAATTATACTTAACGTGATTTTGATATTTTGAAATGTTTTTAGAGGAGTTTGTAGATGTACAGATATGCAAGCAACGAATAGGAGGTTTACAAATTGATGGTACAAAATTAGTGTTCGAGAGGGACATAAATAAATTGTAGTTCGAGATGGATATACATAAATCGTCGAGCGGGATGGGTTTAAACCTATAACGGACTCACCTCTGGGAGTAAACCAACCTTTGTAATTGGAGATCCCATAAAGGAGGTTCAATGTAGTAGAAACAATCAGTACTGCATGATTTGTAATAACACTGCTTATATTATGCTCATCCCTATTGTGATAGTGCTAATAATAATATGATGTTGGAAAGAATTTAACCCTGAATGAGCATTGAGGTGAGAATTCTCGCAAGATATGGGTCACACGCACCTTTGAAGGACTTACCAATGTAAGAGTTGTCATGAGACTGTGGTTATGAGATTTGACTATTCTCTGGGAACTTTTATTAGAATCAAGATTAGAGCATTACCTGTTATGAACTAGAGCCTAAATCATGTAATAATTGAAATTTGGCTTAAGAGACCTAATGCAAGACTTAGTCCATTATGGTTCACTTAAATGAAATTTGCTATCATTAAGCGAGGTTCAAATCCAAAATACATTTATACCTATTACACATTATAACGTTGCTATTATATAGTTATCTATTTTGAAAGTTTAAAACTTGTGGGGGATTGTTGAAAGATAAATAATTTAATTTTTAAATTTTCAAATTAATACCTTTTAATTTGTTGTTTCTATTTTAATTTCAATTTAAAACAAATCAAATTAATAATATTACAGTGTAACATACATTTTAAATGATTTGATTATCATAAGTGTGGGAATTAAATTTATCCTTATAAAAGGGAATGATTTTCATTGAGATATATAACATGAGAAAACATAACTTGAAAAAAATAACTATATCTATATTTCATAATATTTTCCTATATTTTAACAATTTGATAAGGCTTGTTCTTTATCTCCTATGATCGTGGGCATAGAAAGAGAAACGATTTTGAGCCACATAATTTTTTTTTTTTTGGAGCCATGTAGTATCATAAGTACTCGTATGAAGAGGAGACAACACGATTTTAGGACAACCTTTTTAGCGTAACTCTCTAATACTTGCATTTCTAACTCTTTTCTTCTTATATTTATATTATTATTAAATGACGTTTATATTATTAAATTGATAATATTAATTGATAAATATCTACACATAAATTATTCCTTTTTTCCAACAAAATACTCAATGAATTTTGTAGATAAAATACCCACAACATTGACAAAAAGTATCAATAAATTTTGTAGGAAAAGCCTGCACGTACAGGTGCAGGTTTCACAGGGGCCTTATAAGCTCCTCACTATTTGGGGACGGCCCTACATGTATTTTAAAAAAAATTGTGGGGCTCGCACCCACTTATTTCTTGTCTGACAGGACCTGTTAATACTTGTAGCTTCTCTCAATTTTGTAATAAGATAGGCTCGTTTCACGATGCTTTTATTATTGCCTTTTGTACGAGAACTTTCAAAAAAATTGCATTGGGTCAGCTTCCTAAAAACGAGCTTTTCTTTCGGGAGAATTTTGAAAGGAAATCATATTGATTCAATTTCATCTGAAAGCACTTTTAATTAGAAGTACTTTTATAAATTAATCAACTTGATTTAAAGTAGCCTTTTGATTTCAATTTTTTTATTAACTTCTCAAAAATCATGCCAAATATATCTAATAACTCGATTTTATAAATTTCATCTAGATACGACGTCGAGCCATGTTTCAAAGCATTTGAAACCTCTTCTTTTTTTTCTTTCTTTTTTTATTTATTTATTTTTTTTGTGGTAAAAATCGAAACACGTAGTTGAATTTTAGTGCTTCGGGACATAAGAGCAATCCATACGCAAAGTTGAGAGACAAAAGTCACAAATTTAGAGCCTCAACTTGCCCAACTCACGACACGGAATTCCTTTTCACTGGCCCATATGACATGTGCCAACAAATAATTGCTGCGACTATGAAATGTTTACAGATAATGTTTCGTTTATTTTGTTACTTTCGAAAAGTAATTTTTTTTTTTTTAGATTTGTTTGAATAATTTTTTAATGTATTAATTAAATTATGTTATTGAGGATACATTACGCTGTATGATGACTCATTTAAGAACATCAATATTTATTCAATTATTCATTTGATTTCAAATTGCTCGTTTTAATTTGTTGAGCTTTCATACTGTGTTGAGATTCGTGATCCATCTTAAAATGCCCAAACCCATAATAAGTATAGTAGTTGATTTTTATTTTTTTTTATATTTTAAATAAAAAGATAGATATATTAATCGGAAACATTCGAACATAAAGTAGCATACACTCTTAGGTATTAATTATTAATAAAATGCGTGGTTTGAAACCTTCGTAAAAGTTATTGATCTCATGAAATGTGTAGTTAAAAATAAATTTTAAAAAAATGAGTTTTAGAAAATAAGCATCAAACATGGGGTTAGTTTATCCATTACTGATAATTTATGATTTACTTTTTAAAGGCGGTGTATTTCATTGAAATTGTGATGAATTTTAAAACTCATTCTAAAGTTAGGTTCCTTTAATTAAGATTTTATTGAATTTTAGTGAAATACACTAAAATTTAGGTGTTCCTAATTGAGATTTTAATGAAACTCTTTAAAATTTAGAAATCCTTAATAATTAGTGAATTTATAAAGATTTCATTAATAGAATGATTTTAAAATATTTGAATGGATTTCAAGTTTAAAAATACATATAAACCAATCTTTTGAATTTTCATTATATTTGATGAGATTCTTACGAAATTTGTAAGAATCTATTTAAATTCAAAAAATTCATTAGAATTTATGATTATTTAAAATTCATTAAAATAGTAGCTAAGAACACCATGTAAATATGTGACTTATTGAATATATATTAATATATATTAAAAAATCAATATAAGTATTTTTGAGAGTTGTTTATAAATATTCTAAATTATAAATAAATAGAAATGATCAGTGGACAAACTAGTAAAATTTATAAATTGCATGAAAAATGTGTAGATAAAAAATAAGATAATAAGAGGAAATTGAACTGATTATAAATAATTTATAAATCTTGCCCCTATTTGATTCCCATTTTTGGGATAAAATGAATTATGAAATAGTAGTTTTTTGGAGAATGTGTAGTTAAAAAGTAAAGAAAAGTTTTTGAAATTCGTGTATTATTATTTTATAGAATAATGTGTAGTTAAAAATGAATTTTGAAAAAATACATTCTTAAAAAAATGGGGATCAAATAAGAGCCTTAACATTTATAGCAATAACCTTAGCCAAACATACTTCCTTAATACAACTTAATTCATAGATTATGACAAATTCAAACTTGTAAGAAAATTTCAAAAGGAGATCAATCTCACCAGTTGATATTTCTTAACAATCCCCCTATTATATTTTATCAATTAAATATTGATTTCAATACTTTTATTTTATTATACTTTTCATATATTTACATAGAAATTTATCCCATAATAGTGATTCAAATTGCTCGTTTAAAATATTTTCTTCGAACGAATGGTTGAAAAGGAATAATTCAAAAGATTACATATTAATTTTGGTTAACATATATAGATATAGCCTTCATAATGAATAACGATAAATAGAGACACACATCGATATATAAGAAACGAAAAGGAAGAAACAGATAGAAATGCGAGGAGCCACCAGAAGACGACAGTAACAAATTTTGACTACAATTCCTCAATATATATTAATTGTTAACAGGAAACTCTGATAAAGAAACCCATTTCCTATTGCAGCATGAGCACATAGAGAGAGATAGATAAACACAAATAATTATATATCTAAAAGCTACGGAGGTGAGTTTTTGGAAATGATTTTCATTCACGAGTGCTAATTTTTTTATGCTTTTGGCGTGGATCTATCGGCTTTGATTGGAGTTGACATATAATCCATGGGCTATAATTAACGGATTTGGTTAATTTTTGTTCCTGTATACATTTGGAATAACATGTCCAGAATCTTGCTTATTATGGTTCAACCTGAATTTTTCCTTTGTTAGCATAAATTTATTTTTTCTGCTGCTTTGCTGTATTTAAATTTTTTGTAGTCATCTGGAGTCAAAGATGATCTTTTTTGCGTTTCTGAAAACATGTCAGATGGATGAGTTTTATTTTATTTTGTTCAAAATTTCTTAATTTTGTAGTTTTATTTTCCTGAAATCGGAATGAATTGATGCTTATATGTCAGGGAATATGGTGGGCTCACCAGCTTAGTTTGGCTCTAGTAATCTGAACATTTTTGTTTTAGAGCTGGGGAGATCTTATACTCTATCGAAAAGGCTGTTTAGATTTCATATTTTGATGATCATTTTGGATGCTCAACTTTCCTTCTGTTGAAAACAAGTAGCTGTATTCAATTTTGATGCTTAATTCAGCATAGGAATTCAGAATTATCAAGTATTTGTCATGCTCTTTTTTTCTGTCAACGCAACAGATGAATACATAATATAACTGATTTTCTCCAACATAATTTTCAGGATTGATTGTTATCTCGTGGAGTGAATTGATAAATTCCTCATCTCACTCATTGTACCTTCTCAAAGGCAATGGTTGTGCTATGCACTCCTCTTCATATTTTGATCCGTCAAAAGTGTTGCTTCTGGGTTGTTTAAAGGAGCTTCTAATGGGATGGGGATGCATTGCATAGATAGCTAATGGTACTTTCCATTATAAAATGTGAAGGTCAGTTAGGTGTGTCATGTACAAGTTTTGAAATCATATGATGATATCTGCATTATTATATCTTTACTATGGTGGTTCATATATTCAGTAACCAGATTACATGTTTAGTGGGAAAACACAAGCACTTCTTATCCCCTAAATGCCATTTTAAGATTTTAAAAATAAACTTGGTGTAATGATTTGAACAACGTTCTTAGGTTCTCAAACAAGTAGAACAAAATAACATACTAAGTTGATCATGGGCTTGCCTCAAGTTCCCTCCGGCAAGATTGGTGAGGAAACAGCCACATCAATGAGCATGTTCATGCAAATTCCAGCTCGATTTGCTGGTGGGAGTAGCTGTGATATGAGTGGAATGCACACAGGTCATTTGAGCAGTCGAATGCATGGGTCTTCAATAGAACATGTGAAGGATGTTGATATTGTTAATTTGCACAATAATGGTATAGCCAACATGCATAAGTTGAGGATTGATTCTGCAGAAAAGAATGGCTTCTTGTCTCGTAATAGCGGAAAAAATGTTCAAACTCCAGTTTCTAGGATTGTGGGTTTTGAATCAAGTGCATTAATTAACCATAATAATCCACATGGAGAGAAACAAGCAGTTGGTGTTCATTCTCCTCCTAGCATTAGTATCACTTCTGATGTGACTGAGACCTCAAGTTCACTGGTCAGGAAACGGTTATTATCGCCTTTAAATGGTATGCAATTGCCTGATAAATTAAGTGGTGAATATCTAGACATTGGCAGTACAGCTTATTCCCACTTAAAAAGTGGTAACTACAGTATCAGTCTGAAAGAGAATAAAAAAGCTAACATAAGCAACTTGGACTATTCGAGTCCTCTAATTAGGTCTTCATCTAGTTTTCCCAGAGCAAGTGGTCCACGGGAGGATGATATTGAGACAAACTCGATTATAATCACCGACGGGCCTTTATATGGGAAAGATGAGCCTATAACTGAGGTTAATCTTTCTTCATTCCATGAAGTTAGGCATTGTAGAAAAACAACCACAATACAACCCGATAATGGGGCAATAGACATACCACGAGAAAGGGTTGTCTCCTCACCATTGGCTCTGTCTCCTCTTGGACCAAAATTTTGTGGAAGAATGAGAAATTCTGGACCATCTAGAGATTCCAGAAAAGAGTCTGACGAGAGATGTATAAACTTCATGGAAGTGGAACAGTCTCTTGAAGAAACTTTCTCAGAGGAGTTAACTTCTCTTAGAGACGAGAATCCCGCACTTGCAAGTAAAGTGTTTGAAGATGATGGAATGTCGTCTGTCGCACCTGAAAGATTAACTGCCATACAAGAGCAAACTCTGTCTGTTGCAACTCAAAATGCAAAGTTAGGTAGAACTCTAAGTGGCCTATCTGTCAGAAGGTCCTTGGTTGGATCATTTGAGGAGTCACTTTTGTCTGGTCGATTAGCTTCGGGAATGGTGAGCCAGGTACAATTCATTTTCCATAGTTGTCGATGCTCTATTGTTTCATATATTTCATTAATTTTTACTATTTGAGGAACATTGCATTTTACAATGGCTGAAAGGGTTGTAAAATGTCATTCTTTTTCGTGCAGAAATTCGATGGCTTCCTTGCCATTCTTAATATCACCGGTGGAAAATTTTCACCCCATCCGCAGAAACTTCCATTTGCCGCGACGAGTGTGGATGGTGATAATTACTTACTGTACTATTCATCTATAAATCTTGCTGGACATTTACCATCTAACAAGTGTAAAGGCCCAAAATTGAGACGGAGTCTTAGTGTCAGTGGCTCCTGTGAACAGAAAGCTCGTTTGCGAATACCTATGAAAGGGCGCATACAATTGGTAATCTCTCTTTTTCTCTGTGTGTCTAGTGTCTACCCCTCACTCTTTACAGGAGCATGTTTTTATAATTATTTTTCTATAATCTTCAAAATGGTACAAGTTCAGTATACGTGTTGGTGGTGGAGCCCCTACCCACCCAAATGGAGTTAATTATGAAGCTGGTTCTACATTTGCAGGAAACCATACATGAATATTACTACAGCTTCGTTTGTCTTTCTCAAAATTGTAACGTTATATGAATAGCGCAACAATTTTAAATCCATAATCATTTCATGCAGAGATATTCTAACTGATTTCTAATTTTTTATTTTTTATTTTTTTGATATGTATGGTGCAGTCTCATACCATTTATAATATCCTATTGTATGGGATTCTACTATAGTCATTTTTTAGCTTCTAAAAAATAATTGGCTTCATGTAATGTACAAATACTTCCCTTACCTTTAGCTTTGTTATTTTTTAATCAAAATACCTCCTTTGCATTTGAGTGTTACTAGCAGTTGCTTTATTCCTTCTACCACATAGTGGATTTTCCATGATCCTTGTGTTGTAGTTATGAAGAAATGTTTTCACATGGATGATCCAACTCAATCCATATCTTCATGTATCCTCTAGCTCAACACAATTTTATCCCATTTAATTAGAGGTGGGTGCGGGTCGGTTCGGTTCGGTTCAGTTTTAAAGAGAACCGAACCGAACCAAAATTTTCGGGTATTTAGTAAATGGAACCGTCGGGTCCAAATATAATTATGGAACCGTTCGGATTCGATTTCGTTCGGTTCGGTTCGGTTCGGTTTTGTTCGGTTCCGTACTATAATTAAATTTTTAATATTTATAATAACATTCTATAAATACAACTAATGACTCATTCAATGGTTTTGGAATGTCAGAGACTAGTAGACTACCTTGTTTAAATGGTCACTACGGTCAAAGTTTCGGTCGACGGAGGTCACAGCTTCGATCGGAGGTCTCAGTGTCGATCGGTGATTGTATAGGTTTTGAAATGTCAGCGAGGCTGCAAGAGCGAGTGCGAGAGTCGAGACAATATTATGCACTTTAGTGTATTGCTTAGGATTATTTAGTGGGTTAAATCTTATTGGGCTAAGAAATGAAACAATAAAATAGGTAATTGGGCCAAAAATTAAAAAATTAGAAATGAAACAAATTATTGGGCAAAAAATTTGGATTTAAAAATTGTTAATTTGTTTAAAAAACTAAAATTAAAATAATTTGATTTATTAAATATAAAAAAAACTAGAAAGATTTGGTTCTTATTCGGTTCTTCGGTTATTGGTCTAGAACCGAGAACCGAACCGTACCCATCGGTTCTAAATTCAGATACCCGTTCGAGTATTTAATTTGAAAAGAACCTCGGATTCGGTTCGGTCGGTTTGATTCGGGAGATTTGCCCAGCCCTATATTTAATAATGCTCTTATTTTAGCTTCAGTGCTTGTATAGATTTCGTATCCAATGAGTAACTCAACTCTATGATTCTGAATCATTCCACAATCTGCGGCATCATCTGGATTCCGTTTGTAATGATAAAAGTAATGGACACATCATACCTACTGTGCATCTATAATAATATTGGAAAGTTGATAGACTTGCTCTTATGAATTCATGATACAATCCATAGGAGCAGAATCAATCTCTTTTGTTTCAATTTAACTAATTTGCTTCGGGGTGATCGACATGTTATTGCTTTCTAGGAATAGGAATATAAATAAATGATTATTGAGATATAGTTCTACGAAAGGAATATCTGATATCCTAATGCAATTTCACCAAATTAAATATCATTTTTTGCTCCATGTTCAATGGAATAGCCAAATGGATGGAGAGTGATCGATTACATTTATGATTCTTGAACTAAATTAGAATACATCAATAGCAGCATGTATAATTCTTGAACTACATTTTTGAACATCTCTTCTGCTGTCCTTTTCTAGTGCCCTTTTGATCATTAACTGAAACTGCAGTTGGAGCTTCAAAGATAATCCTGGCCTGATGGCATAAAATAAAATGGCTTTATCTATAAGTTGCGAAGTAGTGAATGTGCATGACATTATTGTGGGCTAGGTGATCAATGATTTTTTTACATCAAATTGTGGTTATTATTTTAAGGTTTTCCAAAAGCTCGTGTCAACGAGAAGAAGAATTTGGCTTGGAATTGCCAAAAGGATGACTTCTCACTGATAATTGAGTTTCATCCAATTGCCAAGACTTCCCCATGTTGATAATTGAGTTGCTTTGACAGGTCCTAAGCAATCCGGAAAGAACACCTATCCATACATTCTTCTGTAACTATGATTTGAGTGACATGCCTGCTGGCACTAAGGTATATCTAAATCTTATTAACTTTCCCAGTGATCACTATCTTCCTGAACTTTCGAAATTGCTACCCTTGTTGTTGCAACTACTATCAGTAGGTAATTGATGGTAATTTATTTATATATCACAAATTATTTTAGTGTTGTCTGTTAGCGTCATTAGTTCCAGTATCTGATTTGTATATTTATTTTTCAAATCTACAAATTCGAAGCTTTTGATTATTATCTGATAACGAACCTAAAAACTTAATAACAATAAAAGATCCAAATAGGAGGATTAAAAATTAACAGACATAAATGAAGGCACAGTGTTCTCCATGACATCTTCCTGTTACATTCTTGGGGAAAATGGTGGTTTGGATCAAAATTGGCTTCTTGTTCTGCTGTGATGATTATGAATGTTTGCTGATTCCAAACTTTTAGGGATTGGTATTCACTTAGGATTACACTATCTTTACCTTGAATGTAGCTTTATAGGACTTTTTAGTTCAACAGCACTCCATTATCGTTTTATGTCGAACAGTTTCAGATTGCAATTACATAACTGATATCATGAGCTAGGAGTCTCTTAAGTGAGATTTATATGCTATGTGCCTTGGCTGCAATGTTCTTCGACATGCCAAAAACAGTATATGTAAATGGGGAAACTAGGATGGAGGGTTTAAATGCTTCTCTGGTTGTCGAGGTTTAAGCCTTGAGTTTTCACACTCTCTTTAGTGCACGGATATTAAGGTCTTGGAGCTGGCTTGCTAGACCATAGTTGTTTCTCTCTCTTTGTTCTTTACCTTCATATTTCAAACATAACCATCACATCCATTCAGTGAGATCGAAAATGGCTGCTGTTCCTGAAATGGTGAATTCCTAAATTTGTGGGCTTCAAATTTTGCACTTTAGTATTCTCATTTTGCTTAATACTGAAGCTTTATTGAGTGCTCCTATCACTGATCAAATCTCAATGATCTCTGCATGGGCCTAACTATGATCAATTCACAGTGAGCTGACTATGATGTCCTCCCATGGGCCGTGGCACTTCATTTTATAATTAGTTTGCCGTGTCATGAATACTGTTTTATTACTTTTTAACAAGTTTCGACTATGCATTAAAATTTGCATTGATTCTCTCCATGCTTGTTTCACTTTCTAGACATTTTTACGGCAAAAAGTCACTTTAGCTATGGATAAAGGAGGACGTAAAGACCCTAATACAAGAAATGGCGCCACGCAGCCTGAAATTTCAAAATTTGGCAATTCTTTGCAGCATAGGGAGGTATTTGATGATTCGCTTGGAGTCGATATGCGTAGTGAATTAGACAATGATTCATGCAGAAATACTAATGGAGTGGACGATGTCCCTTTTATTTTGTCTGATGGAAATGAAAGCCAATCTGCCCGTAGCCCTTCAAAGGTTAATGAGAATACTGCAGGTTCTGGTGTTCTGAGATATGCTCTACATCTCCGTTTTCTATGCCCCCATCCAAAGGACTTCGTGAAGACATTCCAGAGATGCAAATCTGGTTCATCTTCTCTGCCGGCAAGGAATGGTGTGGACAGCGAAGCTGAACGCCGCTTCTACTTGTATGATGATATGAGAGTCGTGTTTCCTCAGCGCCATTCGGATTCTGACGAGGGCAAGGTAAACAGATAAAGCTACTATTTGACATGCATGTCTAGATGCTTCCACTCCGAAGTAAATCAGACTTATTTCTGACTAATGCACATATTTTCTTATTGTAAGATGACCTATCTTACACCCTTAGCCTCTAAGCATACGTAATTACTATTAGAAATGAAGTCTTGCATTATCCAGTTTAAAGTTAAATGCCAGTCGAATGGTAGTTCATGGATTGTGCATGGTATCTTACTTATTTCCTTTCTTTTGAGTACAAGGGATGTAGTTACAAATCGATGATCTAGGAGTGACATTACCGGGGAGCAGCCCCGATTCGATTGACACCCTTTCTGTCATCCCCTGAAAGTTTCAGTGAATTTGGATTCATCTTATAACTGTTTTCTACTCTCATTTTTACAGTTATTCAATTTGAGCATGTATTAAAATAAATAAGTTGCATCTCTCTGTTTTACCTGAAACAACAGATGACCATGAGCTATTACCTTCTTCTTTGAGTTTGGTCAGTACTCGCTGTTCATTGTTTCATGTCCCTTTAGACCAGGAGGGTAAATTCTATAGATAGTCGGCCATTTTTGACGAGGCGGGTGAACGATTTCTACTAATAGTCGAACCTTTTTCAATTCTTGGTAATGTAGATATTTTCTGTCATGGTACCCATATAAATAACTTGTGTTCATGCTCGGAATTTTGACATTTTGTTATGAAAAGCTTATTTCAAAGTTTGGTTGCTGGACATCAATGGATACAATCTCTTCCTATAAGTCTCATGTAATCCAGTAACGAGTTTTTTGTGATTTGATGTGCAGTTACACGTGGAATATCACTATCCATCAGATCCGAAGTACTTCAACATAAGTCCATAAATGACTTGTTTTGATCATCTTAAAATTTGATTTGTTAGTACATAATTGTACATATATTTCTGTGTCATCGTTAAGATGGGGGACTCCCATTTGTTTCTTTTTATAGTGGAACTGATTGTCATTTACTGTAAATATTGTACATGTGACAAGTATTAGCCCAGGAAGGAAGTACACATTCATATCAGAAATGAAATCTTCTAGTAGAGCCCATATCAGCTGCCTAATTTTATATCATTATTGTAAGATTCGTTTTTAAGCCCTCATTTGGTAATCATTCGTTCAAAAATTTTCTTTTCTTGTACTTATTTCCACTATTCATTCTCACAATAAAATATTTATAACACAGACCCAAATTTTAGTAGACTTTTTAATCACAAATCATCCAAAAAATTATTATTCAGAAATTTATTCTTTACAAAAAATGATAGTCAAACAAACACTAAACTGTTGAACAATCTTCACACATTTGGAGCAATGTAAACGTTGATGGGTTCAATTCGATCTTCAACCACCACCGTTGCCGTCACCACCACAATGGCCATGCCTGCCACTCCAGCCCATCTCGTGTGAGCTGCCACCCTCCGCCGGTGCCACACCAATACCATAGCTAAACGAATTACAATCATAGCAGCAAGAAATGAGTTAAGATTGATCGTTCCTTGGTTGGGCAACTACCAGCACAAAATGATGCACAAGGCAGATGCATATGGTGAAACCCTACCAACCATTACACAGAGACCATATCAAGACATGACAGAATCAGCTACACGGCACTGAGAGAGAAACTAAACTATACAGGATAATTCATTTCATGCCTTATCCTAATGTTATATAATTAGAAAAACATTTTGAAACAATAAAAGGAAAAAGAAAAAGAATGGGCCGCAATTTAAAAAAATAAAAATAAAAAAGAAAGAATGGGCCACTATTTTTCCAACTACCTAACTACCTTCAATAGAAATAATCACTATGAGACTATAACAGAAGCATCTAACTGAATCCAACATCATCAAAGCAATTTGATGTGCCACCCACAAGTCTATCAAAATCAGACAAAGTCACAAGAAGACGGAATAATGAATGAAAGAAAGAACGGATCTGGAAGATTCTAAAGATGACCTCGCATAGGAACCGCCTCTCACCTCTTGCTGTCAACTAGGCAAGAAGCGAAGTGTAGAGCAATTAGTTCAGAAGGATAACCATTCTATAATCATTCAAGAACAATCGAGCTATGAACCACACGATTAGATAAAAACTAGAATTAACACTTTTTGTGTGTGTGGGCTATTCTGACATTAAAAGAAGGCTAAAATATCAAGTCCTACACATTCATTCAAGATACATTACAGAAACATCAGAGAATGAGTTCAAAGCAAAGACTTTTTCATTAATTTTATTGGGATTTGTTAGGAAAACATAAGCCCCTAATCAAGTTAGGTAACCAAACCCAGAAATTAAAATTCTGAAAAACACAAACTCTTATCAGCAACTAGACTATTCATGTTTGCTTTTCTACCACAGCATTCTAAACAAAACTTATCAACAACGTAAAAACTAATGAAATCAAATTACAGAGAAAATGAAACATTATTGACATTCATATTAACAGCATTCAATTTCATCTTTACCACCGTTCATCAACTCAAGTCCTGGCAAAGACTCCCCATAGCTTGCCGTTGCCAAGATTGTCATAAAGCTTCTTAGCACCATCAACATTCATCTCGACTAGTTTCTGCAGATAAGAACGAGCACCAGTAGCCACCATTTGCTTCCTGGATTTCTTATAATGGACTATTGATGTTAAAATCGAAATAGGATACTTCTTGTCCAAATTTAGCACCAGAGGATCCAAGAGTTTAACTGCACTCGTGATCCCCTTCTCCTCCTTTCTAAACATTCTCCTATTCCCAGCATAAACCATAAGTTTTGACAGTGTTTTTGCAGCAGCCTCTTTCTCCTCAATCGCCTTACCATCTAACATTCTTGACAAAAGCGAAATGCAACCCATTTTTCCCAATTCTTTCTGTGTTTTGACACTGTAAGCCAAATCATACACTGCATTTGCAGCTGCAACTCTCACTCCTAAAACCCCACAGTTCAACACCCCAACCACATGATTCAAAAAGCCATTTGCAACGAGGACCTCACTGATTAATGGGCTCGAGGCCAATATTGATACCATCTGAACAACAACCTCAAGATTGCGAGGCGTGGGAGCAGAGTCCCAGAAATTTTTCACACACTCAATTCCACCTTCTCTGGCAAGAAACAGCTTCAAGTCATCATCTCCCGAAATTAAATTACACAAACACCCAATTGAATTTTCGTGAGCCAATGCAGTACCCGAATTAGACAGTGCTAATAGCGTCACCACTGCATCTTCTTCCATAAAATGCTCTTTAACTTCAGGAAAAGCTGCTAAATTACGCAACACTCCAGCCGACATAGCCTGAGAATTCGGCGTCCCAGACTGACAAATTTCTAGTAGAGATGTAATTCCTCCTCTGGACCCAATTGCCCTTGCATTTTCCTTCGAATGACTCAAAGCTTGAAGGGCAATGCAAGACTTCTCTTTCGCGAAAACACTTCCTGATTCAAGCACCCGGAGCAAATGATTAAGCAATACTAATCCTTCAGCAAGTAAAACATGCTTGCCCGAATCGACTGTGGAAATTTTGGCAATGGCAGCGACTGTCCTTTCCTTAATTTCTGATGAACTGGAATCCAGTAAACGCACGAGTATAGGAACGATTCCCTGCGCCACCGCAATTAGTACATTCTTATCATCTTCCTGTAATAGTCCGAGAAGCGAGTCAAGGGCAGAGATTTTGGACTCAGCTGACCCGATCTGAAGACGAGTCATCAAATTCCGGGATTCAGCCCGGACCGACTCCCGTTTACTGGATGATGAAACATTAGATACAGTTGCCTGAAATGAAACGGCGGCACTTTCGGTGACAACCCCGCTTTTGTTAAGCACCTCGAGATCGTTGATGTGATTATCGAGTTTTGCGGAAATGGAATCAACATCGTTTTGGGTCTTGAGCTTTCCGCCCGGAGGTGTCGGCGAATGGCAGATGTCCGCAAGAGAGACCGCCGCCGAGCAGGTAGCGGAGAGGGAGTGAAAAAGGTCCACTGAAAGCGGGTTTACATAGCCGGCGGCTGATGAAAATTTCAAAAGATGGGTCTCCAAAGCTGTTAATTTGGTTCTGATTAGCGACCATTTCCCCTTGAAGATTTGAACACGAGAAATGGAATCCAAAAGGGAGACAATCAGTATCTGTATATTCTTGACAGTTGGATTGATGGGTTCTTCCGCCACTGCTTCTTTCATCGCTTTAACGTCTCGGAAGAACGCGGTGGCCGGTTTGGAGGGAAACTTTGGAGGTGGCGGCGGGGAGGACGGAGGCTGTGGAGGGAGGTTTGGTCTATGATTGTGAAACTGTGTGCGGAGGGTAACAACGATTGGACAATTAATGTAACGGGGGCTAGGGTGTCAAAGCCTCACGCGGGGAAAAGCGTTGACTACAAACATGATGATTATTAAAAAAGTCGAACCCCAGCCATAAGGACTTTCATCGTCCAGTCCTAGAACTATGTGAGAGATGTAAATCGTAGGATGTGTCTCAACAGATAAAAAAAACAAGAATTGCCTATATATTGTACCTACAAGAAGTCCAATTTAATGTCTCAGGAACTTGATGATTATTAATTATGTGTTATTATGCCTTGTTTGAGCCACGTTCTTCTTTAAAATATATATATATATATATATAAATTTTTCTACAGTAATTTGACATCATTTCAATTACACAATTTTCAAAAAAATATCATTACACGTAAATTCAAAATTTATCAGCATTTTTTAACTACATATTTTCTATCAATACACTATTAAAAATGAATTTTTATAAAAATAATGTGGCTCAAAACTATAAAAGTTACTAACCTTTTGGTGGTGTTCTATCTACTAAAAAATGTATAATTTTGTTGTTCTTAGATATATTTAATATTGTCTTTCAATTTTGCGTTGCATGAGAATGTAATTTAAAAGCTTACTTGTCACATTTTTTTTAAGAAAAGTTATTTTCTTTAGGCACGTTTGTCAATATTTTTTTATTAAAATTGATTTTTAACAGATTCATTTTCAATTACACATTCTATAAGATTCTTAATATTTTTTCCTATTTCCCAACTACGTGTTTTTCAAAAAAAAAAAATATATAATAATAATAATAATAATAATAATAATTTTCACCAAAAAAAATCTCTACTGAAAAACGTTAAACAAATTTGGTTGTTTACATTAAAACTTGTTTACTGTAATTGAATATAACTTGCTATTATTACATTAAATAAAAGAGAAAATTTCATAGAATGTTCAATTTTACATAGTCATTTGCAAAAATGTCTACATTTTTTTTAATGTCCATTTTCGAATTATTTAGACAAAAATACCCTTGTTAGGAAATTCTATTTCCATGCCCAAGGCAAGACTCTTGGTTCATTTCCCACCAAATTAACCCCAATTTCATAACCCTCCAATTCAAAATCAATTACATTTACTTGCTATGAATTGTGAGGGATTTGGGGCAATTTCGTCGCTGAAGGAGAAGGAAGGGGCCACCGGCCGGTGATTGGGGATTGGGCTAAGCTAAAGGGAAGGGGACGGTAGGTCGGCAACGTAACAGCGTTCTTTGTGGAATGTGAGCCATTTTTCTTCTCTCTTGGTTCATTTTCCCCTAAATTAACCCCAATTTCATAATCCTCCAATTTCAAATCGATTACATTTACTTGCTGTGAAATCTGAAGGAGCAATTGGGAGGGATTTGGGGCGATTTTGTGGCTGAAGAAGAAGGAAGGGGCCGTCGGTCGGCGATTGGGGATTGGACGAAGCTGAAGGGAAGGGGACGACAGGTTGACAGTGTAACAGCGTTTTCTGTGGAATGTGAGCCATTTCTCTTCTCTCTCTCTCTCTCTCTCTCTCTCTCTCTCTCTCTCTTTTTATGGTTTTGTTTTTGTTTTATGCCATCGCATCTATGATTTATCATCTATCTTATGTGATTTGTGAATTGTGAATGTTGAAAAATTTGAATGTTGAGTTTAAGTTGAGTGTTGACTTAGACTATTCATTGTTGCGGCGTTGTCTATTACCTGATGGAACTTGGAAGACGAAGTTGGAAATTAGAAGTACTTAGAACTTGGGTTTGGCCGTTTGGGTCACTTTGAAAAAATATTTGATTTTTGGGTGTTTTCCTAAGTTAAGATCTACTATTTTTGGGTTTATTTGTATTCCAAGAAAATCACATGGTGATGAGGCGACAATAATGAATAATCAATAACTTCCCAGACCTTGAGACCAAAAATGACAGTATCCTCAGAGAGTTCCGCATTCAAGTCGGAAGCCATATTTAGGATGTCAAACAACCTGCAGGAATTTGTAAAAATTGGTATGGATCCTCGTGTAAAAAATGTTAAAAGATGTCAAGATTAAAGATAGATTAATAATAAATAGTGAATCGAACCGAGATTAGTTATAAACACATCTTAAGAAACTTCTTGATGATAATAAAAGGTTGAACCCCAACCTTGATGGCCCCACCACCGAGGCATTTTCAAGAATGTCCAATTTTAGGGGTGTGAGTTGAAAAGTGTCTTATTGAAATTATGAATGTCTTATTGAATTGTCTGCAAAATTGTTTATATTCTCCTGTTTGTGTTTTTAATCTAGTCTGCAATTGGTTGTCGCTAAAACAAGAAAATGGGTGTTGTAAAATTGATTTAGAAATGCGTTTCTTATGAGACTAATTAATTGCTTACTTGCAGATTGAAAATAGAGCCTATTAGGCTTTGTTTATCAAAACAAGCTAATAAAATTGGTGTGGATCCTCCTGTAAGAAATGTTAAAAGATGTCAAGATTTAAGATAGATTAATAATAAATAGTGAATTGAACCAAGATTAGTTATAAACACATCTTAAGATACTTCTTGATGATAATAAAAAGTTGAATCCCAACCTTAAGGCCTCCACCGTCGAGGCATTTTCAAGATATGTATAAGATCCATTTGTAAAAACCCTATTTCATATATCATATCATTAACTCACGTGATTAAGCCACAGGAAAAAGACATATAATTAATTGCACTCTATAAATAAATTCAATAAAATAAAGAAATCTAATTTACATATATATTGAATAACTTTTAATATTATTTAATCAAATTTTAATAAACAATCGGGCTATTATGTTTGTTGATTGTCGACGGTCAATGAATAACAGTCAACCTCCGCTCTAGCTAGACTTTGTTGCTAGATTCGCCACTGAGCAAGGTATAAAGTTTTAGAATTACCCATTCTCTATTTCTGCTTCAATAACATGAACCATTTTAAAATGTTTTGGTATTAACCAAGGTTTGTTTTACTTTGAACAATTAAACAGTTTAGTTTAGATATGGTATTTTATAAAACCATTGTATTGTAAAATATTAGGGGCGGAGGCATGTAGGGGCAAGGGTGGTCGGTGGCCCGCCTAAAATTTTTGTACTTTTTTTTCACGTAGCTTTATGTAAAGAACACGTAAGTTGGATTACCCAGTAGATTAATGTGCGAGATATTACCTGAAATTCTTGGAATTTTTGAGGTACAGCTAGAGAAGAAACCCCAAATCTAAATACTTCAAGCGACTCCATTCTGTGATGCGAGACGAAAATTTTCCAATTGGGAAGAAGCTGTTGAATTCTTCATATGAAATTTGTGGTTCAATTGATATTCATTTTGGATTTTATACCCACAGCTTGTCAATTGGAATTTGTATTATGGGAATTGTGATTTTGGGATTGATAAATTTGTTGGTGTGATTTTGGTGACTTGGACATTGATTTTGGATTTTAAACCCACAGCCGTTAATTATTAATATTTTTTGTGCACAAATTACTTTGTTAATGTTATCTTTTCATCTTGATTTTAGGAAACTTTATATAAAAAATTGATTTCAAATTTTTGTCGAAGCATATTGCATTATCATATATGAAGAATGTGGAAGCCTATTGATTATCTCGAATAAACTTGAGTTGGTACTACTGATATTAGTTAATTTATTTAATGGGTATCTATTTAATGATGGAAATGTTCGACTTAAACTACGTTAAATTTATAAATGTTATTGAAATTTTTTATTTACATAATATTCGATTCAATGTTGGAGAGATACTTTAAAAGGAAAGCTTCAGTTTCCATTGAAAGTCAAAATATTGATAGAAAGAAATCTAGCAATGTCAGTGTGGTTGCTCAAGATGAAAGGAAATATCCAAGTTCAAAGTGATATTGAGCATGAAAGAAATAATCAGGGTTAAAGTGATATTAGCCATAAAACTGATGTTATGTGGGATGTTATTCGAGAAAAATTATAGTAATATAGTGATACACCTTTATAATATTTGTAATTTTTTACTATATAATTTTTGCCCACACAAATAAAATATTCTGGCTCCGCCACTGTTGTAAATGATTTGATTTGAAAATACGGTGAAAATTGATCAAGTCAAACTGATTACATTCTACTTTAGCCTTTTATATAAACCAAGCTATTATTTATTTATTTAATTAAATCAGGTAAACTACTGACATTTTTAAACGGATAGATAATATAAAAAAGGTAAATCTTACTGGTTTATTTTGAAAGTAATGTTAGCATATTAATGTAGTATAAAGTTGTGCACTCTTGTCTCTTGTATTTGAATCATCTTTTTCGACAATAGTTTTATTATATGCAATAGGAGGCAAGGTGGGAAATACATCCTAAATAAGAGACCATGAAGTTAAGTCAAGAAGAATTTTGCAATCCATACGATTTTTCATAGATCTCGGAAGCATAAAGAAATATGTACCATTTTAGATATCTTTGAAAATATAAACCAATATATATAGATAGTAATAAAGAATATAAGTAATGAGATTTTCCTTTCAATCATGTAGCATGACAGTGCTTTGAATTCAATATTATGGTTAAGAAGGATTCCTCGTTAGTTGATGTTCTAGAGGAACAGGGAATACTCTATGAAAGAGTTCACCAGTGAATATCTAAGACTGACTTTTGTCAAGTGTTGAACATGCTTGTAGAGTTAGAAGTCTTTGACATGATCCATCTATCAATTTCTTTCTAGTACAATGTATCCTTAGTTAGATTAGTTGTGACAAAAAAGTGCAATATCTTCCAATAATGCATATCTAGATATATATCTTATGTCAGTATTTGAGTGTTTTAGGATAAAAATACAAATAAAATTCCACCTGCATAAAAGTTTTGCTTACATTTAAAATGCAGAATCTTTGATTTAAAAACATTGAGCCTGTGCCGAATTTTTAAAGATCTAACCACATGTCATAATTATAAAACTATTTACAAGATGACAAAAAATATTTTGCTTGAAAGAAATCAAGTTATTGAGGTCTTGGTATAAAGTCGTACCAGTATATGT